TTTATTACTTAATAGTAATCACAAATTAATAATAATTTCAATGTATATAAGGCCTAGTACGTTATTGATAATTCGTAAATATAATGGAATTTTAAATTTGGGGGGGGCCAGGTCCACCCATGTCTACGTGCCTGAATTTGAGATAATATGATAGAAAAAATACGGTAACACAGTTGGGTCACGGCATAGTTGGGACAAGTATAAACGATATCTGACAGTGATTAAAATCATTATCATAAGAAACACTTCAATGTAAATATGTAAATAGTGTTTAATTTTAAGAAATTAGAGAATGATAAAAAAGCAAAATCAACTCCTATTTCCTTGATTGTATTGTTATTAGTGGTTATTTGATTTAAAAGTATAATTAATGAATTAAAAAATCTGCAATTAGAGTTTTTCTATTACTTTTAATTTTTGATATTATTACTAATTAGTAATAATATACTCATTTTTATTGATCCGGAGGAAGGCTTCTTGGTTTAGCGAAGATTGGCGGTCCTATAGTGAAAATATGATTCGTACGCTAATAACGATATGTACAATACCTGTTTGGGTCATATTTGTTCTTACTACTAGCGGAAAATTTTTGAGTAACTTAATGTCAACTGAATCGTCTTTAAATGCAAAAATGCCCGAGGACATCGTCTCTTTAACTTTTCCGGCGGTGGCTAATTTGGTATTTTTGTCAATTAGGCGTTTACTTCTCAAGGCTATTAATAAGCCGAAAAAATGGAGAAAGTCAGTTCCTATAATTGGTTTACTGACTGCTACGACAATAAATTTCCATTTAAAAGTACGTCTTAAACCTAAATTTACAGCAATTAATTTTTCGCCGTATGTTTTTATTATTGACCTGTTGTTAACGAGCCGTTGGCTGTCGTCTCTACAGTAGATCGTTTTAGTTTCCTGACGTGTGTCGGTATTTACACGGCGGTTTGCATTTAGTAACCTTATCTTTGAACCGATAATGATAATAACACGTATCATATCGTGAATTGTCTCGGCACACAGGTGATTCTGAGTGACACCTATTGTAACTATGAGAGTTGCTGCGGCCAAGTCGCTCTACTGATTGTGTAAGTGCTGCGATCTGACGTTCCAATTTTTTTATTGTTGTTGCATCGTGATCTTGTTCATGTGACTGATGGTTTGTGACCTTGTCACTAACGCTGAAAATGGAAGAACCATAATTTCGACTGTCCGATACTTCGATAATTGTTCAGATTCTTAAATTCTTTCGATAAAACGGGTTTTAATGCTTCGTACATGTTTGTTTTTGGGGGGTTGAGTATTATATAGCTAACTTGCGCAAGAATTCACTTTCCATAGAGGAAACAACATAGTGATATTTACTTGTGTCAGTTGTATATCTGGTTGTGTAAAAAACGGATTCAATTTGTTTAAAATTCTGGGTTGGTACGCCGGACAATTGGAATTTTAAACGCTCGAGTCTAATCCATATTGGACTATGCGATATGGTCTCGGCCATCGTTACCGGTTACATCGTCACGCACACATACTATCGCACTATCGGATTTACTGTTCATTTTAGAGGTCACCAATTTGTAGCATGTAGATTAATTTATTACAGATACTACAATTAAAAAATTACAATAATTAATAATTTTACAACATAAAAAATGATATATATGTGTATATACATAAAAGTTGGATTGTACATAATACTGTTATATCGGTTTAATGGACACCGCGAGACTAAAACAAAACATGGAGCGTTACCATACTACAGTGTACACTTATAATAAACACATAGAAAAATATTTATTGTGACATATTAACTTAACCCTTACAATATAATATAATATATAATATATAATATATATAATATAATATATAATATAATATATAATATAATTTTAATATATATATATATTAAAGTGTCAGTATTTACAAAATATTATCAAAAGTTAAGTTAAAAAAGTTCTACTTTCTATACGCATGTTTAAAATTTGACCACCCTTGTATGAACGGATATGGTCCGATTTGTATGTCGGATGAAAGGGGTATATAAAAAGTATTTATAAATAAAAAATTTATATTGATTCATACATTTTTCATAAAGTTATAGCATTATAAATTATAAAATTTTAAATATAAAATCGAGAACTTTTTCACAAAAATCGTACGTTTTCCTTTAACTTTGATGTCCATTTTCACCACAAAGAAGTCCAGAGGTCAATTTTTTTTTTTCAAAATAAAGTATATTACATATGCTTTAATTTAAAGTATATATGAAAATGTCAGTATTTCCGGAACATTTTAAAAAGGTAAGTTGAAAAAGTTAATTTTTTGTGAAAAAATTGCTATTTTGGAACCCCTCCATGAACAAGTAAAGGGTCAAATGTACACAAATATATATTAAATAATAGATAAATACCTAAGGTGTTTTTATAATTCAAAAATGTTGAAAATTACCGATTTTCAAAATAGTAATTTTTGGGGGATTTCCTCCATTTACGGAGAACAATGGAATTTTTGAGGGTAATATCTTCGACTAGATACAATTTGTGATAATTTGACAAATTTTTTTATCAAAATCGGTCCAGTGAAATCTGAAATTGAGCGTTCAAAACATAAAAAAATAAAAAAAACACATCATAGTAAAATTGATACCTTTTCAGCTACGCATCGAAACTAACAAAATTTCAAAAAATTCTGTTCTTATAATTTTTTTCATCCGATCTTTTTACGTATTAAAATTAATGATTTACATTTAAATACAAATTCGTTATGGATTTTGGTTTTATAATACCAATGGCAGCAATAATTTGTTTTAAAAGCCCATAAATTATTTTTCATAGTAATTATCAAGAAAACTTTTATTATTTTAACTTTCTCTTCTGACATTTTGTTTTTCACATTTTAGTGAATAAAAAATTGAAAACGATAGATGGGATAAAAATAATTCTTTTAATCCGATATTAAGTATTCTAATTATTATTAGTAAAATTAATTATAATAAATAATATATTAAATAATAAAAATATAATTGTTTGTATTTTTTTCTTCTATCAATAATTTTTAGTAGTGGTTTTCTTTTGAGAAAATTAAATTTATGATTTATAATCCAGAAGGGATGAAAAAAAATTTTACTTTATATTTTTGTAGAGTTTGTTGAATCATTAATTTTTCTCTTTAAATAAAATAAATTTTGAGAAAATGAACTATTTACAATGTTTTGATCAAATTGTATAGAAGGAGCATAGAACTATTTTTCATTTTAGAGGGGGATTAACCGATCCAACTTACTCCAAATCTATAACTTAGATAACAACACAATGCTAAGTTTGCAAGTGAATAAAAAAAATTGTACTGACTGAGAGTATGTTCGGAATAACTTTACAATATCTTATAATACATATAATTCGGACTATAATTATATTAAATTAATATCAATTGATATTTTGAATTGGAGTTAATTAGTATTGTATATTGCTATAGGTATCTTTAGTTTCTAATAAGAAATATATCTTATCTTATTTTTACATAGTCATTTTTATAACCTAATTTTTAATACCGAAATTAAAATTTGTAAGTTTTCTGTTTTTTAATTTAATTTTCTGAAGATGTTCTGCTCAATAAAGTTTCGTACATAAAAACAGCGACTTGGAGCAAAAATATATTAAATTTAGTGATTAATTATATTGGATACTGTATGGTATATACAGAATGATCGAAATCTGGTAAGACACTTATTTTTTTAGGAACTATTGATTATTTAAAATTTTTGTAAAAAGAAAAATTATTAAGTTTATAAAACTCTACAATAATATGAAGTTAAATAAATTTTTTTTTTCTATCATATTATAAAGTTAAAAATAAGGGTTCCCATTTAAGAAAATTATAAATAAGGGTTTTTATCCTTGAAGGGACGAAAAAAATAATAGTTTGACTACATATTATTGTAGAGTTTTTTGAACTTGATATTTTTTCTCTATAATAAAATTTAAAATTCTCAATATTTTCTGAGAAAGTTAGTGTATTACCAGATTTCAATCACCCTGTATATGATTCTTACGAAATATAAGTTTATTTTTATAATGAAAAAATCTGTTTAATTCTTTTAAGCAAAATAACTATGTGTGTATAATTTAGATTGCTATGAGCAAATAACCTATTCTTTAATACATCGAACATATAGAAAAAATATTAAAATATAATTTATTTATACTAACATAAAACACTAATATAAACAATTTTAATAACTAAAAAAAAAAATTAATTAAAAAACATTGGAAAAATCAACTAGAGTGTAATATTTATAGCTATGGAATCCACGTACAATTTTTTACACTCTACTATATTATTCAGTGGAAATAATTCAGTCGAATCTATTTATAAAGGTCAGATGTTGTATAGATATTAATTTAAAACAATGAACAAAATATCAGTAACTATTTAAAAAAAAAATATTTTTTTTAAGTTTTATAGAATTAACACTGAAGATACAAAATAGTTAATATTTGAAAATCAGATTAAGTTTTTATTAATGTCTTTGTAGTAATGTTCATGTAATTCAGTTCAAAAAATGAAAAAAAAATATTATTGTATTATTATTTTATTATTTTATATATAAAAACAAAGAAAAATATCTTTAATAAATAGGACAGTAGCGTATTTAAGGGGCTGTCTCTAGGAGCAATAACGAGGGCCTTACCTCTATACACGTCATTGAATTTATGTAAATCCCTTAGTGACATCATGGTATCCTTCGAAATGTGCTTATCTTCATTAAAAACAAGCTTAAATGTATACTGCAATTATTTTTATTTATTTTTATGATAGTTTAATTCTTTTTTGTACTAAAAAAAGTAATTATTTTGTTTCGCAATTTCAATTTCCATATGTATTAAATAATAAATAATTACTGGTATGCATAGACTAAAATTTAGTCAATAATATATAGACTTTAGAAAAAAAAACTCATTAATAAAATAAAATTAACACTTAATAAAATTAGATAATAACTTTTTTAGACAAAAGATATATGTCATGTTTGGGAATTAGGTGGCGATTTAGTTTTCAAAACTTTAATTTCAGCTATAGTTGGAAAAAATCAACATCACAATTTAAGTGTAGTTTTGGTACTAGACTTGTCAAGGCCAGAGGCATTATGGAACGTAATGGAAATACTTCTCAAAGAAGTCAAAACACTGATTTACTGTTCAAATGAGGATGAAAAATTAAATAATGTTCATGATAAAAATTTGGAGGTTAAATAATTTGATTTTTATCACTGTAATAAATAAAAGAATACAATATAATTATGACCGGTTGAATTTTTTTTAGGATAAACAAAATAATACATCATTTCCAATTCCATTAATTATTGTGGGTAGTAAATACGATGTATATCAAGTAAGAGTTTTTAATAACATATGAATTTTAACGAATGTGCTTTTTTGTAAAAAATATAACACTATTACGTTCAAATTTATCAATGATATATGGTCTTGTAACATTATAATTTCAACAAAAAAACATTAAACAGTAGTAATTGCATACTAAGGTATATTAAGGTGTTACTAAAATTTCAGATATTTTGTCAATTATTTAATTAATTAATAATAAAATAATAACAATTTGAATTTAATGAATATGTAATTTTTTTTTAATTATATATTTATTTTATAAATTAATAATATAAATAATTATACTTAGTTTTATATAATCATTTGATAATAATTGATGAGAAAAAATTTTCGAAATATTAATAAAATTTTTAATTTTTAATTTTTAAATATAGAGTATTGAGATTTTTATATAAACTACTAGTGTGTTAAAAAGAAAAAACCCAGCACAGGGGGGTCGCGGCACAGTGGTGACGTGGCATAGTTGGATCAAGTTTAATGATATCTGACAGTGATTAAAATCACTATAAAAAAAAAACGCTTCGATGCAAATCTTTAGACAGTGTTTAATTTTAAAAAATTGGTGGATTATTCCAAAAGCTACATGATCTACTATTTCCTTATTAATATCCTGATTAAGAAAAAGTATGTCGAATGAAAAAGGGATTATTAAAAAATAGTATTTCCCATAAAAAAATTATATTGATCAATACACTTTTCAATAAGTTATAGCATTATAAAGTTAAAAATATAAAAAAGAATTTTTTTACAAAAATCGTATTTTTTTTATTAAGTTTAATGTCTGTTTTTACCATGAAGATAAAATAAAGTCCGAAATTTTTTTTTACCATTATAAAGTATATTACATTAGCTTTAATTTAAGATATATAAAAAAGTGTCAGACCTTCCGGAACACTTTCAAAAGTTACGTTGAAAAAGTTCTACTTTCTATATGCATTTTTATGTTTTGAATCCCNAAAAAAAAAAAAACACATCTTAGTAAAACTAATACCTTCTCAGCTTCGCATCGAAGCTAAAATCGATCATTTTTCACGATAGTTTTTGTTGTCTAAATGTATGTTTATGTATATTTAAATATAAAAAGGTTAAGATTTTTTATGATTTATTTACAGGAGATTATTTATTTTCTGTTTTATAGCAAAAAAAATAAAAAAACAATAATGATATAATTCGGTTTTTTTTTAATTTAAAAAACATAGATTTGTATTAATCACTATTATAATTTTAAAATAATGTTGCTAATTTTTTTGCTATGATTTAATTTAATTATTTTTTCAGAACCTTGAACCGGCCAAAAAAAGAATTATTTGTCAATCTATGAGGTATGTCGCTCATACTAATAGAGCTTCATTGTTATTTTATAGCACCAATGATGCTACTCTTGTAAAAAAAGCTAAGGAAGTAATGTCACATTATGGATTCGGAACATCTCTCTCGTAAAAAATATAATATTATTTTAAAATCTTTAAATTTAATTTGAATTATAATTATCAGAAAAACGTGTGTATACGACATAAACAAACCGCTATTCATACTAGCTGGTTATGATACTTTTGACGCTATAGATCAGTTGGATTCTAACAAAAGTTTAAGATCAATGCAAGAATGTAAAACATTTTTAAATACTTATATTAAACAGGTAATATATTTATTTGTTAAATCAAAATTAGTGTGTTATAAAGTCAAATTTTAGCTTCGATGTGAATCTGAGAAGGTATTATTTTATCTATTTTTTTTTTTTTCAATTTTTTCTTTTGTGTTTGTGAACGCTCAATCTCAACTTTCGCTGAACCGATTTTGATGAACAATATGTCAAAAGATCACAAATTGTATCTAGTTCAAAAAAAATTACCTTCAAAAATTGAAAAAATTTCTCTTGTTTCTCGTAAATAAGGAAAATCTCCAAAAAAAATTATTTTTTCAGTTTTAAAAATTATTTTTCGACATATTTTCAATTTTTTTTTACTTAAAACTGCCATAACTTTTTTAAAAATGACCAAATCAATATAATTTTTATTATATATATACCTTAGGTATATAGCTACAATTTTTTATATTTTTATGAACATTTGACCTTTAAAACAGGGGAGTTTCAAAATGACAACTTTTCCAAAAAAAATTAACTTTTGAAAATGTTACGAAAATACTGACATTTTTATTTATACCTTAAATTAAAGCTTATGTAATATACTTTATTTTGAAATAAAAAAAAATTTGAACTCTGGACTTGTCTTCATGGTGAAAATAACTACCGTATGCTATTTTTGTGTTAATATTCTCGATTTTATATTTTTAACTTTATATTTCTATACATTTTTGAAAAATATTTGAATCAATACAATTATTTTATGAGAAATATTATTTATATACCACTTTAATTTTCTAAATCGGACCATTTTCCATTATACAAAACTTGAAAATGCAAATAGAAAAGAGAACTTATTCTACTTAATTTTTGACAGTGTTCCGGAAATACTGACACTTTTATATATATCTTAAATTAAAGCTCATGTAAATACTTTAATATGAAATAAAAATTTCGACTTAATTCTGTTTTTATGCTTGAAACGGACATCAAATTTAATAAAAAAAATACAATTTTTGTAAAAAATTACAATATTAAATTATTAAATATCAATTTCATACTATATTTAATTGCTATACTAAATATTTATTCATATATTACACTTATAAATCATAAAACTTATAATCAGAATATAATAAGGAAATAGGAGATCATGTTGCTTTTGGAATAATCAATAATTTTTTTAAAATTAAACGCAATCTACAGATTTGCATCGAAGCTTTTTTTATGATAGTGATTTTAATTACTGTTAAATATCATCTATATTAAACCCAACTATCCTACGTCCTCACTGTGCCGCAACCCCACTGTGCTGGGGTTTTTTATTTAAAAACTCTTAGTTCAAGAGTATAACTCAATTAATCATCGAAATCACAAATAGTAACTATATGGTAACTAATTTTGGATTAAAAAATGAGATCTTTTATATCATCCCAAAAAACTGTTTTAAAATTATTATAGACTAGTCCCCAGTTGGAAGACCAATTCCCCTACCACAACAAATTTTTTTTTCTTCAAACTTTTTTTGCGTACTTTTACACTGAGGCGTTTTAGATAGTGATATGAATCACGGTAAAATTTCAATCATTTTATGTTTTTCTTAACTTTGAATTCTGTGTGATATTGTGATTTAAATTACCCCCAGATTATTATTTATGAAAAATGAATATATAATACTTACTTTCATCAAATTAAAATAATAATATACCACAGGCGTAACTAGAACTAATTTCTCTGGGACACTAATTAATTTTTCTCCCGCTCAAAATTTTTTTCATACAATACAATACATGTATATAATTTTCTAAATTAAAAAAATGTTATTCTTTGATTAATTTACGGGTATTCTCTATGATATCCTTACGAACACAACATTGTATATTAATAGGGAAAATTATTCTTCTTCTTTTACTGGCATTCTCACTCTCTAAGAGTTTTTGCCGCCATTACTACTCTTCGCCACCTATCTCTATCTTGGGCTGTCTCTCTCCAGTCTTTAACTCCAAGGATTCTTAAATCTTCTGCTACCACGTCGATCCATCTTTTCTTCGGCCTCCCTCTGGGTCTTTTCCCTTGTGGTTTCCATTCCAATGCTACCCTGGCTATCTCGTTCTCCTTCTTCTCGCTATGTGTCCTAATCATTGTATTCTTTGGCCCTTAATAAAACTTGTTACCGGTGCTATTTCCAACATGTCATATAGTTCTCTGTTGTACCTTCTCCGCCAACTTCCCATTGTTTCATCGATGACCGGTCCGCATATTTTCCTCCACACTCTGTGCTCAAAAGTCCTCAGGTTTCTTTTTGTTTGTTTGGTCGTTGTCCACGCTTCGCAACCATACGTGAGAGTCGGTATTATAATAGCCGTGTACAATTATTAAATATATGAAACTATTATAAAAGGTATTTAATCTTATTATAAAAATGTAAGTATTTTGAACTTCTTAAGATATTCACTCAATATGTATACTCTTTCTTTAAAGATCACTTAATGTAAGGACAAGCTGAGAGATTAACCGAAGTATCATTTAAAATGTTTTTGACATTTTCATTCAAAATATAGAAAGTTGAACAATAAAAAAAAGTATACCAAAAAATAAAATTTGATCGATAATGATATAGTATTATGTCATTGATTTTTACTGCTATAATACTGCTAGATGAAAATGATATTCTTATAAAATAAAAATTCTTCAGTCCTACTTATTTATTTTTAAACTTACAATGGATTTAGTTATAATTTATAATCTTAGGTTATTTACATTGTATTTCTTAGCTTAAATAAAATTAAAATAATCAAACAACGGTTATAATTTAGTTGTTTTTGTACTCAGGTTCCACTAGTAACCGATAGTAACAAAGGTTCAGTTTTAGAAGTCGAAGATCCGCTGACTAATCCTAATTACATGGATTCTGTAATAGATGAAGCGTTAAAAAAGAAACAAGAAGTAAGTTTAAATAATAAATAATTAACATCATTGCTTCTATTGTATTACATATAATATTTGTTATTTCAGGAGCATAAACTTTTTATGAAAGATTATGAAATTATTTGTGGAAAATACAAAAGTAATTTACAATAAGAAAGAATTATAATTTATAAGTAAAAAAAATTATAAAAAATAAATATACAGAGCATATTATTAAGTTATAATAATAAACCTTATTATATTGCCTACATTAGCTTGAGATTTTCAATTTGTGTAAAAAGAATATCACTCATCTTTTGAGGCTTATCACAGAACTCACTTATAAGAAACTCGAATCGAGTAAAATTTAAAATAACGCTTTTTAATAATACGTCAACATAATATCAGGTAAAAATTAAATTATTTAAATTGTTAAAATTATCTATGAACTAATTTTTTGAAGAAAAGTGGTAAATCTCTCAATGCTTTGTTTGTCATTTTAATCTTGATTACATAATATACTCCTAATCTGAATGTAAAACCAAACAGAGCAAGTAAAATAAATTGGCGTGTCATTGATTCTCCGTTCATCCCCAAATCCTTCATCAATAGTTCAGGATTTTTATAATGACAATATAAATCTGGACTGTGACATTCCATTTCGGCACGACCATTGCCATACAAAGATATTATTGTAGCTACTAAAGAATATCTCACAAAACTCAGTCCCATCAGAGTTTTCATGAAAGGTTCAATCACTTGTCCAAAACCCATTCCATAAACAGCAACTGCTAATAGAGGGGCTACCAAGGCTGGTGTTAATACGGCACCGGTCTAAAGAATAAAAATGATTTAATTCATTATATTTTTATATATACTATGTATAATTACGGCACTATTCACAGCTGATCCTATTAATATTCCTAAACCTTCTGATATGTATCCAGTAAATAATCCCGACACCATAAACTGGGTCAATCTTATCCAATCCAAAGGTTGTGCACTCATGAAATAAGCAACCAAACAGAAGAGTCCACCAAAAATAATCTGAAAATTAACGCGCATATTATTATTAATATTGTATCTTAAAAAATAATGAATACTTACTAATGGAGGGATTGATGTAACATAAGTAGCTAAGCAATATGACTTAAGTCCATACCAATGATTAAAATATTCACGACGTATTAATTTTACTTCACCAGGAACTTAATTTGCAAAATATAAAATTAGTATTATAATAAAAAAAATTAAACTGCATTGTTTTTAGTATTACTTACAAGTTAGTATTGGGACCATGCAATAAGTGTAAATAAAAAATACGACTATACTAATACAAAACTTGAAGTTTTCAAATGGTTTATCTCCGTCAATTCCGATACCCAGATTTATGCTTCCCAAAAGAAGAGCTGAGATCAGATGATGAAAAAATGATATATATAAGGCAGTCTATAATAAATGGGCAACAAATATAATTTTTTTACATAAATCAAAAATAATACAAATAACTTACGGAATTCCTTAAAATTTGTTTTGTTTTTCTATCTAATATAATTGAAAATTGTGTCAAAAACGACGATGAATGTCCAGGATACTTTTTGTTTGACGATTCCAAATTATCAAATACACGTGGTAATACAGCCAAAGTCTCATTACGACCTAAAAATATGATATACTAATAAAATAATTGTAGTTTGATGAAACTATTTTAAACTAGAATGCCTTACAAAGTTTTGCAACTGGTGGTTTTTTTTCCGATTCATTTATTTCGTCACATAAAATAATTTTTCCATTTTGGATTTCCCTATTCAAGTTTTTTATGGTGTCATTATCTAAAACTTCGAACACTAAAAAGTAATACAAAATAAATTGTCTATAAGAATAATATAAATAAAAATAATATAATATTTTTTAATTAAAAAAAAATATAATTTGTCATTTGTGTGTACTTATTTGTATCTACTTTATACAACTATTTACCAAAATCTGCAGGATTATATGTTGATTTACACACATGTCCTACTTGTGCCAAAAATGGGACAAGTTGTCGAGGTGTTCCGTTATAAATACACGAACCTCTGGCTAACATATAAACATGATCGAACATATGAAACTGAGATGAAGTTGGTTGATGAATTGTACAAATTACAGTTCTTCCTTGCTTGGCAAGATCAACAAGCAAAGACATGCATTGTTTTATCGCAAAATAATCCAAACCCCTTTTTACACAAAGAATATAATATTAGCAATATTTTCAAGTTTTACAAATTTGTTTATTCTATTAATTAAGTTGCTTAAGTATAACAAAATATTAAATTTAATCCCTGAAATTAAATTTACCACTATAGTTCCTATTGTACATAGATTAGAATAGTAAACTTGCATTTTGATAGCAACTGTCACTTACGTGGTTGGTTCATCTAAAAATATAACTGGAGGATTGTTGACTAACTCCAATGCTATGGATAGTCGTTTGCGTTGCCCTCCAGATAATTTTTCTACAAATGTATTTTGACACTTTGTTACCCCTAATAATTCGATTACTTCGTCGACCTTAAACAAAAAATCATTACTATTATAATAGACTACACATAGATTATTGTTGTATGTTTTTAAATTTAACTATGTCATGTTCAATCAGAGAAATAAATAATTTTTATGATTGCCTTATAAATCATTTCATTAACATGAATTTTTACATTTATAATAACTATCATTAATAATTAAACATGAAATTTCATTAACTTTGATTAATTACAATAATAATTTGAAAACTATTCGTGTTTTGTTAGTTATTACTAAAGTGATAATTATTTATTTTATGTCTAGAAATTATTTTCATTATTAAAATATATGTTATATAAATTTCATCAATTAAAAAAAGTCTGTTTAATAGATTTAAGTAAAAACATGTATAAATAAACATTAAAATAAGTAATTTGTTGTATTAGTAAGTTGTTTTTTTTTATAATTATAAAATTGTTCGTAAATAGTTTAAATACCTTCTAATGTATAACAGTGGCAATTAATAATTTAGTATTTTTACGGACAATGTGGTTAAAAAAATAAATAAAGAATAACATTTGTAGTTCCAACTATATATAAATCTAATTATGGCTGTTATATAAATATAAAGTTAATAATTCAATTTTAATCAAGAATTGTATATTTTACGTCAATCAATAAATTACTGCACAGACGAAATTAGGCGGAAGTCATTCGCTTTAATTAATAAATTTTAAGTTAATGTTAATTTTAACTTAACTAGAATTTAGACGATATTTTTGTAACATATTTAAATTTAATCAAATTTTACACGAAATATACATACAAATCAAATTATTATTATATTTCGTCAAATAATAATTTTTAAGATAGATAATAATAATGTTAACAAAAAAATAAATAAATTATGGTTTTTAATTTTTACACATCAGAATTTTATATGGTTGCACTTGTTATAGTTCATTTAGTTTATGTTACGTTATCATCACTAAAATCACATGTGATTTATTAATGTGTATAAAATAAGACATATTAATATTCATACATATTCTATATAGTTCACGAAAAAAAAAAATTCATAATTAATTATGTGTTTTTAGATTTAGTAAAACTTTCAGCTAAGTAGTGGATATCATCTAAAATAAGTGATAAATAAAGACCGCAATTCGTGTTTTAGTTTTGTTTTTTATATTTTTAGGTAAGTTCAAGGACTTTTGTACGATGTAATGGTAATAACGTCTTGCAGTAGTGGACTATTTTTATTATTTGCCGTATATTTGTTTAACATAAATGCATAAACTTTGAACAATCAATCCGCCATTGTAATCTTATCTTTACGTCACAAAAAATGTATTAAAAGATTATTAAAATTAATTTTTTACAAAATTTAAACTTTAATCATTTTAAATATAAAATTGATCAAAATAATGTAAAAACATTTTTCTATTCGATTTTCTCTTTGAACTTAAAGACTTACAATTATTGAAAATTAAAAAATATAGAAAAGTCAAATGATATTTTTTAATAAAATATTTTTTTACTTAATATAAGTGTTATTTATCTATAATAAAACCATTAATGATTTACAAAACCATTAATGATTCCCAAAACTCAATTTAACTTACATGTATTATAATTAAGGAGTACGTTCCCCATATTTCCATGTTTTTTTACATTGTCTTTTTAAAACTATTTCTAGTAGTGCTATATAATTAACATTAATTTTGGCTATAAATGATTTTAAGTGTCAAATAAATTTACTAATTAGGAAAAAACAATTAAAAATGAAACACAATCGCATTAATATCTACAATAATATTGTATTATATATATTTCTTATCACTTAAACCTAAAAACTACCAGTTTAAAGATGTTGATGTCAGCATCATTACTCGATGTGTATAATTGTGTTCCCTTATTACTTAATACCGATTTTTTTTTCCATCTGAATTTGTATAAAATAATTGAGATTTGTTTATTTCTATGAAATTTTTTATTCTTTTTCAAAATAAATCATGTCAATGGATGATAACTGGTTTAATAATTTGCGATTATAGTAGTTAGGTCAAGGTTATTAAAATATGTAACGACCTTTTCATTAATGTATAATCCGATAAACAATGTTTGATACTTTTTTATGTGAAGGTAGTTATGTAGAGCTTACAATTTTTTAAATTATAGATTCCTTAGTTTTACAAGTTTCGATTTATAAATAAAATAAAAGTTTGAAAAATAAGTACTTACACGATAAACTTTAGTAAAATCGAATAATTAACAATCTTCATGTTTGCACAATCATGTAACATTTTATTAGTTTAAATTAATGATTTATTTTGATAAATTTACAACATTAGTCGATAAAATCCTGCAACTTCTTTTAATTTTCTTATCATAATTGAAATGATTTTATAATTTAAAATTTTGAAGGTCAATTTATTTTACAAATCATATACTCTTAAACTTCATTTAAAATTAAAAATATTAATTTAAAACTAAAATTATTAAAATCATTTTACTCAAACCCTTAAACTCTAATTTATTAAATTTTTACTTTTCTAGAACTCATCAACAATACAGTACATTTCATTTATTTTCAAAACATTCTTTGGTCATTTGCTAAAATATTAAGATTTATAAATAAGCATTTCCAAGTAAAATTTAACTATGATCTCGCAAGTTTCAAATTTGTAAAAACCTTTTAAATAATAAAGTACAACTATGTTAAAATTTAGTCTTTTAATACCTTTAATAGTTTCCAATAACAAATAAATACTTAGATACTTTGGATTTTTTCTTTGGCTATATTGATAAAGTTTATAAAAATATTTGGAAATTAAACATATATTAAATGAGTCAATTTAAATGAGTATTAACATTTTATACATCTTTCAAGCGTTTATTATTTTAATATTAAGTGGAATGCTCTATAGATAATATTTTTTAAACTAAAATGTCAAATTTTGAAAATTAATTTTTTATAATTTGTTATGTTGAAGTAAGCAAATAATTTTTAAAGTTAATAGTGGAACTTACAGCTTTACATTTATCCTCTTTTGATAACTCATTACCAATCTTCAATCTTGCGGCGTAAGTCAATGACTCTAATACTGTAAGTCTAGGTTGCAGAAGATCATCTTGCATAATATAACTAGAAAGTTTTTTAAAAAGTTGCATGTTTCTAGGATGACCATTTGTTAAAATCTGCCCCTTAATATCACTTCTCCTGTAATTCGTGCAAATTATATAAGATCTAAGCTTTCCAATAAAAATGAAAATAAAATATTACATATATTTACAAGGAAATGTATATTAATATAAATAATTTCTTTATAAATAAATAAGTAATATTCAAGTTAACTTGACAGATATTATTATATATTTATAGAATAAATTTTAGCTAAAAACATTTAGATAATTAAACTGGATATTATAACACATTTTTTTACAAAATATAATTATCTGAATATTTAGCATTAATTTAATTAAAACACTAAGTTTTATTATTGCCAACGTTCTTAAAGCAATAAATAAAAATGTATACAGTGTTTTATTACACTAGGAATGTTTTTCTATTTGTTTTTATTTTTACAGAATGTTTATATACATAACATAGTAGTTAAAACCTAAAATCTATATTTATTAATTAATTAACACTTTTCGATTTTATTTAAATACAAGCCCACGGGTATCGAAAAACAGCAGCACAATAAAGTAATTTTGATAAAATCCTTGTAGATATATACGTTGATAGCCAGTTGCCTTGTAGATTTATCATTTTATTAAAAACCGGGGACGTAATATAAATAGTGTGTTAATGAGAAATATACACGTTTATCTCAGACTAATATAAAACACGATATTCGGAATCTAACAACGGTAAGTTTAGATCTGAAACTTGACGAGTTGCCTAATTATCCTTGGACAAGGATAATAACCAATATCAAACTAATAAAAGATAATCGGCTGTTCTTTCCGCGGAGAAAATGTGCGGATGTTTATCCTTTTATGTTCATAACAATACCGGTTTATAACTGACGTGAATGCCTTTTCAATGATGTCAAGTAACTTACACATATCCAGCAAGAATGTTCATGATTGAGCTCTTTCCAGCGCCAGAAGGCCCCATGATAGCTGTTAGGTGCCCGGAGCGAAAGAAGCCGTTCACGGATTTTAGTATTGTTCGTTCTCCTATAAAATAAAATCCTATGTTAATGGTTTAACTACATTTTACAATAAAATATTTTTAAGTTAAACATTTACATTTACATTAAAAGTATTAATAAAGTCAAAATAATGTTTTGAACAAAACCATGTTTAAAAGCCACATTTCAACTTGAATAACCACAGTAGAAAAATATTTATAATACCCAAATTTTCAAAGGTCAATTTCTAATTGCCAAGCTATTAGTATAACTGATATATTAGATATTCTGGTACCCGTTTGATAGTACTATAAGTAAGATAGTAAATAAATAATACAAAACAGACATAAAGACTTATGAGACATTTTAAGAATTAGAAAGTACAAGCAATAGCGTAAAACTAACTGTAACTAGAAACCTAAAGTCATAATATTTTGAGAGCACTCGATGGTATTTTTAAAGGTCTTTAGGAATAAAGCTCACTTTAGAATTATATATTATTTAATTTCTAAAGCTGCATTAAAAGGCATTTTTAATATTATATTATATTCATATATATATATATATATATATTAATGATATTTACTAATATATTAAGCTTAAAGAACGCCTAGATTTGAAATCTCCATAATATTGTAATCCGATAGTTGCGTTTCTGGATAAGAAAACTTGAAGTTATTTCCATTATGTTCATATAAACTGAATAGTACTCTGGTCATATAATTATGACATTAACTAAATGTTAATTGTGAGAACAGGTATATAGCTAACTATCAATAAAAAATTGAATAATATCTTTTGAAAACGTCAGTTTAGTTAAAACTTCTTTGCCTCTATTTTTTCTTACTCATAACTCATTGCTTATTACATGATGTTAAATTTGGTCCAAGAAAAATTTATTAGATTTATTTGAAGGTTGAATATGAGAAACTTGTTTGGATAAACAACAAATTATGTTTATATACGCAATTATTTACTTAAAAACTTTAATTAAATCAAAATAAATTAATCCAGAAAAAAAATACATATTTGAAAACCAAATAGAAAATAAAAACTCAAATTATAAAGTTGAAAATAACTATAATATAAAAAAATCTAGAAGAAGACATATTTTTTTATGTTCAACATTCTTGTTTATCTAAACAATTGTAGAGACTTTTAAGTACCTACAATAAACTATAAGAATATTTTGTAACCTAATGAATAAATATACAAAGAAAAGGTATATTATTTATAAAATATTTACATTTTAATATTACATGACAGTATTATAAATAAAATTTCTACATGACAATTTTATTTAATAATAGGAAAGAATAAATTCAAAAATTAATAAGAGTTAATTTGTATTTAATTGCAAATAAATCAAATATATGCAACGTATAATACATTAGTCGGGTAAGAAATCTGGCACCAACGCCAAAAAAATAATTTGGCAGTTAACATTGAAAAACAACAAATTTTAATACGTTCTGTCAATCTCAAGATCGTTTTTATAGTTACAAGGGCTGCTACCTCCTTATGCCCTCTTAACAACTTTTCGAGTGTATTAATTATTGATATAAAGTTTTTGTTGGATTAATATTAATACATAACAATACATAAGCAGATTAATACTTTTCTAACTGCTAAAACGAATCCATTTTATATGCTATATTAAAAGAAAAATTACATTCATATATTTAGGAATTCAAATAATTTTGAATACATAATGTGATAGTAAAAAAAAATTAAATATCTTTAATGATTTTTCATAAATAAGGAAAAATAATAGTTTTAATCTTCCCTGAATTTTTTATTTGAGAAATAATAGCCTCATTATACAGAATCATACTCGTATTCAGTAGCGTAGCCTAAACTTCTAAATGGGAATGGGTATAGTAAAAAATCTTACAAAATTTTATTTTTTGGACGTTGTTTATTACTCATCACTCTGTTTTAAAAATGAATATTACCGTCAATGTGTACGGAGTCCTCTCATCCCTTGGATGCGTTATTGCTTATGTATGTTTACATTGGATTTATGTTTTAAATCAAATTAAAAGTTAATTAGCTTGTGATAATAAACACTACAAAATTCAACAAAATTACATGTTATAAATATCTTATTACCAAGTGTAATTAGATTTTTTCTAAAAAAAAAAACAGTTTGTTTAATAGCGTGTTTATATATCTTTTTGGATGAATAAATGATTTCAAACCAGTATAATTAATCGTATGAGCTCGAAGTGTATTTTCAAATTATTTTTGTTTATATTATTTTCACATAAATTAAAACTAGTTATTTCCTTAAAATTACTTTATTCATTGAATAACTTTTAATAATAGAAAAAAAAGACATCAAGAAATTCAAGTACAAAATTTAATAAGATTAAAAATGACTTAAGAGTCGTTATTTTAATACATTTTATCAAAAATGTAAGTATTATTATTTTAGTTGGATTTATTTAAACTAGTAATGCATTATGTGCAAATACTGAACACCATATATTGTAAAAAATAAATTGAAAAATCAAACATATATAATTAAAAAAAGTGGAATAATTAGAGAAAAAAAATCTTGTTTTTCGTAGTACATAATTTTGTGAAATGTTTTCTCTCCTTTAAAATTAAACTTTTGAATATAGAGTTTTATATTTTACAAACTTTATACTTAATTAAAAAATCAGTACAGTAAGGTTCAAGTATAAAAAACGATTCATTACAAATCTGTAGATAGTGTTTAATTAGAAAAAAAACGATAGCACAGTGATGTCGCGGCACAGTGTGAGTGTGGCATAGTTGGGACAAGTATAGATGATATCTGACAGTGATTAAAATCACTATCATAGGAAAGGCTTCGATGCAAATCTGTAGATAGGGTTTAATTTTAAGAAATTGGTGGATTATTCCAAAGCAAAATTCTAACTCAAAAAGAATTAAAGAAAGAATTGTTGGGACAAATTTTTTTTTTTGAACTTAAAGTATTTATCTTAATCTTTATTTTATCATACATTTAAAGCTCGTAGTATTTCCAGAACATTTTCAAAAGTTAAGTTTAAAAAGTTCTGCTTAATAAATATTTATGTTCAAATTTAAATAAAATGTTAATTAAAATTTTTTTAATGTTTTCTATTATTCAGAGTTTTATCTGAATTTTAATATCGATTAATCTCAAATAAAATTATGAAATATGCCGTTTAAACCAAACGTAAAATCAAAATACTTTCTTTGAAACTAATTTGTAGAAATAACTTGAATAAATTTAAATTTCTTTATAATAAATAATATACATGACATGTATATTATTCATTAATATACATTATATTATTAATATACATTGTATATTATGACGTAAACCTATGTTTTTACAAAATATGTCATGTTTATAATTTTAAACTTGACCTGCAATCTTTTCGCCAAGTAGAGATAATACATTTTATGGGAATCATTACATAACAAAATCGAACATGTACTAGTAAAATAAACTACAAAGGTGTATTAATTATAAACTATAAAGAACCAAATTTTGGGACGTATATTTTATTTTATTTTTGATTTTCTCCTTATTTTCTTTACTATTATTGATAAAAGTCTATAGAAGTTTCACAAAAAAATTAAACAAGAAAAAGATCATTGCTAGACTGCAACCAGATTTATTTGGATTGTTTTATATATAACTTGATTTCTTATTCAATTTTGATAAAATTATAATTTAATTGGGTAAAATAAGATAATTTGTTTTTTTTTCTATCATATTAGCAATTTAAAAAAACCCAGCACAGGGGGGTCGCGGCACAGTGGTGACGTGGCATAGTTGGATCAAGTATAATGATATCTGACAGTGATTAAAATCACTATCAAAAAAAAACGCTTCGATGCAAATCTTTAGATAGTGTTTAATTTTAAAAAATTGGTGGATTATTCCAAAAGCTTCATAAACTGCTAGTTCCTTATTAATATCCTGATTAAGATAAAGTATGTCGAATGAAAAATAGAATTATTAAAAAATAGTATTTCTCATAAAAAAATTATATTGATCCATACATCTTTCAAAAAGTTATAGCATAATAAAGTTAAAAATGTAAAATACAAAATCGAAAATTTTCACACAAAAATAGCATTTGGTAGCCATTTTCACCGTGAAGATAAAATAAAGTCCGAAATTTTTTTTTTGCATAATAAAGAACATTGCAAAAGGTAATGATATCATGCATCTATATAAAAAAAAGTTATATTAATATGTTCATTTTTAAAAAAGTTACGGCAGTTTTTAGTAAAAAAAATTGAAAAAATTTCGAAAATTAGCGATTTTTAAATTTGTAATTTTTTCGGAGGTTTCCCCCATTTACGGGGAACGAGGGAATTTTTTTCAATTTTGAAGGGTAATGTCTTCGACTAGATACGATTTGTGATCTTTTGACGTATC